CTCTAATAGAACATAATTAATCCAAACATAAATAGTATAAAGAAAAAATAATTTTGAAAAAATTGCATTTTTGTAAAAATTTCAAAAGTGTAGCATTTTTGTAAAGTGGCATTTTAAAAAAAATTTCAATTTTTTTTATAATAAAATAATTATTTATTATTCATTTTTTTGTATAGTATAACTACTTTTCAACTTTTTTAATTCTATATATTTGTCTCTTGTAATTTTATATATAAAGATTAGATTTATATTTTGATGTATTTCAGTTAGCTACAAAATATGTGTATTTAATGGACAAAAAGTATATTGGGATATAGTAGCCCATGATGAGTGTAAAACAATTTTCTTAATCATCAATTCTATTTTCTATATGAATCAATAATCTTCTATATACTGTATAAAAAAAAAGACGGTTGATTAATAAAATTGAATAGAAATTAATATTACCTTAAGTGACTTGTATATTGTGAGTTAATACAAATGTAAAGTAAAGTTTGTAGATTATGGTAAAAATATAAATTGACATTGATTTTATATATACATGGTCATTAAATATTTAATTAATTACTACCACTAAAACCATTAAATATAAATAAACTTGAATTTATTTTGATTTTTAAAAAGTGAGATATATGTCAAAAGTATAGTTGCCACATGGCAACCTCTCATAGTTTTGGTTTTGAAGAACCTTAAAATATTATATAAGATACAGTAGCCCATGATGAGTGTAAAACAATTTTCTTAATCATCAATTCTATTTTATATATGAATCAATAATCTTCTATATACTGTATAAAAGAAAAAGACTGTTAATTAATAAAATTGAATATAAATTAATATTAACTTAAGTGACTTGTATATTGTGAGTTAATACAAATATAAAGTAAAGTTTGTAGATTATGCTAAAAATATAAATTGACATTAATTTTATATATACATGGTCATTAAATATTTAATTAATTACTACCACTAAAACTATTAAATATAAATAAACTTAAATTTATTTTGATTTTTAAAAAATGGGATATATGTTTAAAGTATAGTTGCCACATGACAACCTCTCATAGCATTGGTTTTGAAGAACTTTAAAATATTATATAAGATATGTTCAAAATTTCAAACAATAATTATATATTTTAATTATTATTTTAATGTAACAAAAGAAAATGAAAATTATATATTTTAATTTCAAGTTTATTTTAAAAATGAAATATTATTATTTTATGGGTTTTAAATAAAAAATTCCATCAACTATTTT